AAGCAGCGCCAGATCCGCTGCACAGCACATGGCAGAGGCGGAGCACGCCTATTTGTCCAACATGTACGGCAAGGCGGCTGCCAATATGCTCAGTCCGCCGCTCGCTACCGCCCACGAGCTGCGTCGCAGCAGCATCAGCAGCAACAGCAACAGCGTCACCTTTGACTGGAGCCTGGCACAGCAGGAGGCGGCATCGAAGCAGCAGCAGCAGCGTGCCGTGCGACGTGCCACACCTGTTGCGGCTGCCGTTGCCGCCGACGCCGCTGTGCGCCAGCAGCGCCAGGCGATCATGCATCGGCGGCACAGCATTTGCGCGGCCGGCATTGCCAGCCTGTCGCCGGCCTCGTCCACGAACTCGTCGGCGGCATCGCCAACGGCATCGGCAGCGGCGACCGCCGCTTTGGCCGCCTCCTATTATGGCGCCTTTACGGCGCCCTATCATCCTATGAGCGCTGCGGCGGCGGCAGCGGCCGCCCATCATCAGCACGGGCAGCCGTCGCCGACGATATATCCGCCGACGCCGCCGCCGTCGGCGCCCTGGGTGCATCCCTGGTATGCGGGCGATCCCTTCTGAACGAAATCAAAAAACAAAAACTAACTAAAAGAGTTAGCGAAAGAGAAAGCAGAGGAAGAGCAAGAGGAAGAGGAAGAGAAAGAGGAAAAAACATAACTAAAAACATGCGCTTCTCCCCATGTACATTTGTAGTCTATGCCTAAGTTATTTATATTCATTTGTTTTTTAAATCTTATAATATTACTATATAATTTTTTTTTTTTTTTTTTTGTTTGTTTTCTTGTTTAGCTCGTAAGTAGGTTAACTAATTTTCTGGGCATAATATGCCGCAAAAGTAATCGATTATCGATAGTTGCACGTAGCGAACGTTTATCGATGACAGCGCCCACTGGACTAAAACAAACTATCGTTCATTTTGCTAAAAAAAAAAAAAAAAAAAAAAAAACTGAACAAAAAAAACGGTTTTGTGTTTTGAATACAATTTTTTTAAACTGAGAACTCAAAGAACTGATTACATTAAAAGCCAACAACAACTGAAAAAAACAAACAAACGAAAGAAACAAAACTGAATAATAACTTTAACATTTTTCAAGGTCAGCACCAGCACACACACACACACACACACACACACACACACACACATGCATACACAACAAATTGAAAAGTTCGCTTGTTTTTTTTTAAAGCGCGCTGCCCGCTCGAATTAACAACAACAACAACAACAATAAAACCAACAACAACAACAACAACAACATTTACAGCTCGTTCGCTGGCGTGAAACCGACTGCATAGTTATAAATTAATTTCATTTTCGTGTGCATTCGACTCCGCATGCATAAATAAGTTATATAAAGTCATTAACTTGTAATTCTAAGCAAGAAATACAATTTCTTGCAAAAACTACTCAAACAAAACTAACATAAAACAAAAAAAGCAAAAACAAAAAACAAAAACAAAACAAAACAAAACAAAAACAAAAATTCAATTGTACTATAAAGAAATTCATTCGGTTTGTGTCGGGCTTTCGTTTCAGAACTTGCCACAAGCTATGTTAAAACATGTTCCATATAAGCAAGCAACTACTTATGTACTTTGTAAATTGAACAATTTCCAAGTCTTAACAATTATTCTATAAAACAAAACAAAAAAGAAAAACACAACACGCTAAGAAAGGAAAGGAAAAAAAAACATGAAAAAAAAAAAAAAACACGTTTAATATATATGTTGAAAACATAAAAAAAATGCTTATGTTATACAATGTATGTATATAATCATCTATTTATACATGTATTATGTGTAATAAGTTATATAAATCATATCCGTTTTATGGATTATTTGGCAAAGAACAAGCTAAACGCAAAACATATTTATTTGTATTACAAATTTTTTTTATTCTAATTATATGCTAGACATACATACATACATACATACATACATATATATATATATATATATGTATATATATATATATATATTTGTGCTGTTATTAAATTAGCTGGGGGAAATGAATATTTAAGAAATTTATACTTTCGTTTCAGTTTCTACTGTTTAGTATGTACACACACACACACACACACAGCTACACACAAATACACCCACTCCCTAAACCACATACATATAGATACATATATATTTTTATTGTTAGTTGAAGCCGTCAAAGTATTTATAAATCAATTTTTTTTTCCTGTTTATTAATTTTATTTCAAGGCCAACAGAAAATAAAATTTACAAAATAATGAAACTAAATGAGAATGCAGCAAAATTAAGTAAATAAATTTAAAAAGAAATGCTAAAGATTTCAAATGTTTTCTTCATTTTTGAACTTTGCTTGTTGCTCAACTTGGTGAAAGGTGGCAACGCTGGGCTGGGCCAATGGCCGGCCGCACTGAGTGTGTGTGTGCGTGTGTGTGTGTGCGCGCGCGCGCGCAAATGCAAGTGTTGCACAACGGCTGGCCGAATATCGATATATCATAATAAAATGCACAGCTTGTTAAATGCAACCCTGTTCTGCGGCCAGCCAACAAAACATTCATATAAATAATAATAAAGCGCAACCCACGGCCCCGAGGCGTCGCCAAACAACGTCAACACAATGGGTTTTCCGCGCATTCTCAGCAAGAATAATAAAATCTATACGAAACTGGGTGAGTTTTGTCTATCCGGCGACAGTTTCTGGATTGTCTGCCATACATGCCAGGAAGAGCTGCAAACGCAGGACGCATTCTGGAAGCACATACAAGATGAGCACAATTTCCTGCACGGCCTTGCCAAGGTAAGCGCCACAGCTGCACTTGTCCCTCACAATAAACGACCCCACCGAAATTCATTCACATTCCACATGAAAGGCTGCAAACAAATGCGCTTTTCGTATTGCTTTTGGCGCCCAAAATGTTGTATTCATGTTTGTTTGTGCAACAGGAGCATGGCCGCAACTCCAGCTATTGCCTGACGGACGTGGACGCTGCGGCGGCCGCAGCGAGCGCCACAGCGAACCAGGCGGCGGTGCCCGTGCCGCTGGCCCTCTACCATTGTGCCAAGTACAGCGAGGAGGAGCAGCGCGAGGTCGCCGCCGCTGTTGAGCTGCACGAGGCGCAGCAGCAGCAGCAACAACAGCAACAGCAGCAGCAACAACAGCAGCAACAACAACAGCAGCAACAACAGCAGCAGCAGCAGCTGCAGCTACACCAGCAACAGCAGCGCGACTCGGTCAAGGATCTCGCCGAGCTGCATGCGGTGGCAGCCGCTGCCGAGAGCAGCGCACGCAGCAGCAATAGCGGCAGCGGCAGCGGCAGCGGCAGCGGCAGTGGCAGCGGCATTGACATCAAAGTAGAGCCCACCAGCCTGACGCTGACGCCCGAAATGCAGGTGGCAGCTGCTGCCGCCGCCGCTGCCGCAGCGGTGACAACAAACACAACCATCTATCACCTGTCGCAGGTGGTGCCGGCGCCGCCGCCCCCGCCGCCGCCAACGCCCTGTTTTGTGACAACGCCAACGGCTGGTGTCAGCACAACGCCGCCGCATGCCGCACTGGCCGGCCCAGTCGGAGCGGCTGGCAACAGCAATGTAACGGCTATGCAGCAGACGTGCAGCACGCTGGGGATGCCGCTAATTGGTGTTGCCGCCGGGCAGGAGCTGGCGCCAAAGGACTCCAATAGCACAACGGCCAGCGCCAGCAGCGCCGTCTCCTCGGACGATGGCGAGCGCTGGTATATCTGCGATTATGGCACCTGTGGACTGAAATTTAAATATAAGTCACGCATGGAGCTGCATCGGGTGGTGCACAGCAAGGAGCGGCGTTTCAACTGTGATATGTGCAGCGCCTCCTTCAAGCAGTCCTGCAATCTGTCCACGCATCGCAAGAAGAAGCACTCGATGCGGGGCATCAAGAGCGAGCTCTTGCCGCAGCGCTTCTAAAGGCGGCGCCAGGATTCACCCCAGCGCAGCCCAGGACCAAGTGCAAACGTTTTCGTTGTAAGCCCAAACCCCAACTGAATCCTAATCCCAATCCACTTTAAGCCATTTTCTATATATATACATATATATAGAGTTTCTTTTTGTTTTTTAAGTCTTTGCACGTTTTTCAGCAATTTTGTTTTAATTTGTTTTTACATTTCTTTTATTATTATTATTATTATTATTATTATTTTTTTTTTATTTTGAAACGTTATAAATATTCGATTTAAGTTTATGCTATATACGTATAGATATATTTGAATATATATATGTATGTATTTTATAGTCTTAGTACGCCCCTCTCTCCCCCCTCCCATTTTAGTGTTAAGCAGCGTACAAGTTTAAGTGAGGTTATGTTAACCTCCAAGTTGGTGTACTTAAGCCGATTTTCGACTGTGCAAAAACACACAAACACACACACACACAAACACAAACACAGACAGGCACACACATGCAAAGGCGTGTCTGTGTATGTTTACATATATGTTATGTTCTAGCTGTAAATGCAGATTTTTATGTAGTCGTTAAGCATTGACTTTTTCGGGCAGAAAGTTACCGTTAATTTAAGTCACACATGTGTATTTTGTAAGCAGCCCAACGGAAAGAGTCGAGGAGGAGTTCAAGAAAACAATGAAACAAAATAGTATAGATAACAGTTACCAAGACCGTTAAGTCAGTTGTTAGCACTTACATAACAGTTACATTTTAACATGGATATGTCAAATCCCAGCAACAATGCGATCAATCCGACAAAAAAAAAAAACAAACAAACATAAACAACCGCAACAACAACAACAAAATACATACCTTAATGATTGTTCCGCCAAACGTGCACTCGCTCTCTTTATTGCTCTCGCTCGCTCTTATACTGGCACAGCAAAATGTCCGTTTTGCGCAACAGGATTTATTCGCTCATTTCGCACCCGTCAACCGTCGTCATAAAATACTGGCTGGTTTGTGTCTTAGCTGTTAATCCGGTTCGTGTCCTTACTGGCGTTGCTACACATATTTAGTACGCAATTTCACTGCGCTGCCAATTCGCCGGGTTCGTGTCACTGTTGCCATAATTAGTAAGTATGTACACAAACCACTTTGCTTATCGATTTGATTTTTCAATCGAAACTTCACGGCTTACTTTCACATAACGGTTAAAAGAAAAGACAATTTCAAACCCATCAAAAAAGGGAATGACCCCTCTACTAATTTATAATGTATAATGGTTTATTTTATGCAGGAAGTATAAATATTCTTGATCAGGACGACAGGCTGAGTCGATCGAGTTTACGTGAACCCCACGATCTCGGAGAATATATATGCAAAAGACTTCAAAGTTTAAACATATATCCTTGTGTATCATACGGTTAACAAGTTTATCATTTCTTCCGATATCTTGCTCCATTTGTGCAGTTTCGATAATTATCGATCACACTATGAGACTATGAATAATACTTCACTAATTGGATAGCACCCATTCAATGCTGCCAAAATTTCAAAAAGGTACATTTTGATACTCCATTAATGACATTAAGCAACAACTTTAATGAAGAGTCCTTCAATTGCCATGTGCGGCATTTACATACAAAGTTGCATTCTGTTCAGCACGGCAAAAGCTGATTGCTGCGAGAGCTGAAATTTGAAGCCTCTTCATTTTTAATGAACAGCCCGAACAGCACGCGAGAGCGCGTGTGCGTGTGTGTAGATTTGTATATTTGTGCATTGGTATTGATATTGCTGCTGCTGTGCGCGTGAATGGATGAAAATCTGTAAAAAAGAAATACATATGTACATATGTATGTGTTGAAAGCACAGCGAAGGGGCAGAGTGGCAGCAAAAAGAAAATCGTAAATGAAGCGGAAATTGAAATGTGTGCGCCAAACGAATGCTACGCACTAGATTTTTGAAAGGTTTTTTGTGTTGATGTCTGCTGCTCCATATATGTATATACGTACATACATACATACCTACAAACGTATGTATGTACGTGTGTATGCCCACTTACCCACCCACACACGCTCAATTTGTTTGCAAGCCTTGACTCTGTCTTATTAAAGTGGATACAAGCAGTTTTACACACACACACACACGCACACGCAAACATGCAGCTCGGCTTGAACTTGAAGTGCATGCCAAAAACACAGCAAGCAGCGTAAAAGAGATGCAAAACGGAGTTCTGCCGGCGTCAAAACGGCCAAGCGCACGATCTTGCTGTCTTTGTCTCGCACTTACTCACTTGCGCCGTTTGTTTTCGTTTTGCCTACGTGCGCAACGGCGACATAACTGTAATTATGATTTTGCCTTGCTGCTTATGCACATTAATCCAGCTCGCGTTGGCTTTGTTGTTGTTGTTGTTGTTGTTGTTAGTATTGCACTAAAGAGAATAAGAAAAAGGTTGCCAAATAGCGGCAAAATTCAGTTGTGTTTTGTGTGTGAAAGTGAAAAGTCGCGGCTGCTTGTTTATTGGCATATTTAAAGTGGTAAGTCTTAAAAGAAGCATTATTATTATTGTTATTATTATTATTGTTATTATTATTATTGTTATTATTATTATTATTATTTTAAATATGGTGTTAAATTTTTTAGCTTGCAAGTTCATTTATTCGTTTGCGTCTTATTATTCTCTTCTCTGCTTCTCCTTTGAGACTCAATACCGTTGGCATAACTGTTTTCGTGTCTCATTATCGTTCGTTTTGTTCTTCTGAGTCAGCAGCTTGCGAAGTTTTTGCAGCTTTTAATTTATGTCTGGCATACGGCCCATAAAGCCCATTGTGCGCAGCGGACAAGTGTACAGTTAGAGAGTTTGGTGTGGTGGGAGAGTGTTAACAGTTAAACTGCTGCAGTTGCTGCTCGAAATGGCATTGTTTGCATTGCCGTCAAAAGAGCCAACTACCGATAGCATTATTTATTTAACGGCATTCAAATGCATTCTCTGTGCCGTAGAGATAGGTGCGGGCCTGACAATTGAGGCGCGGCCCAGCACGAGCACGACATAGGGCTAAGAACCCAGGAAATTATGCTACACTTTATAAAGACAAGTCACCTTATTGGAATTTTTGTGGAGACATATTTACTTAATAAATAAGGCGTTTCTTTCGATAGTTTGTATTGATCGATAGATTTCGATATTGATTATTATATGAGGCCAACATTCATCGAGCTACACCGTGACTTAAGAGGTCAGGCTCGAGCACGCACGAAGACCGCACGACACTCACGGCCAGCGCACATCTCTACTTGGCAGCTTCCCCTCCCCTCCCCTCCCCGTTGCAGCAGCGCTCGCTTTTGTTGCATTCGCCGCCAAAAATATTGTTAAAGCAGGCCAGCAAGCGAAAGAGCGAGACGGGTATAGTGTTGAATCAGGCTTGGGCTGAATCGAAGCACTACAAATTGAAGGTGCTGTAAAACAAGTCTTCCATCGAAAGCCTCAATTTAAAGCGCAGCAATATGAGTGCGTATGTGTGCGTGTGTGAGTGCTTGCGTGCTGGATAAAAAGAAAACCCCAGAAAATCAAATTGAAATTCTTCTTGTTACAGTTACCGCATGTTTTTCATTTGCCTGTTTAAAAGCAGCATTTTTTTTGCTGCGGAATGCAAATGTGGGTATATTAGCTAAGAATTTAATCTGCTTATTCGGTTCATTGATAACCGGTTTCCGATTAAAGGCGCCCAAGTTCAAGTTATCTAACATTGTGTCTAATATTTACAGCAAACTGAGTATTAAACCCAATTCAAATCATTTTTGAAAAGGATTTTAAACAAAACATTTTATTTACGGGGCGCAGAGAATCGGCTAAGCAGTTTAGCAGCTGGCTTGAAATTTACATGTGTATCGATACGATGTTTATCGATAACACTACAGCTATAAGCCTCAACGAGTTATCGAACAGCTGAGTTACGCACATAAAATGATCATTTTTATTGCTGAAAATGTTCGTAGCTATTGCTATTTATTAATCTTTTTATAGCTAAGCAGTTAGCCTGCTATTTATATATAAGCAATTTATCGATAACAGTGCAGTCATAGGCATTATCTAGTTATCGATCAGTTACAGGGTAGCACAGCAGTTTAACGGCTTGCTTGAAATATACAATTTATTGATAACACTACAGTCATAAGCTTTAACGAGTTATCGAACTGCCTGAAAATATTCGAGGACTTATTGTTATTGTTATTTATAAATCTATTAGCTGATTTTTATGTATAACTAATTTGTCGATAACACTGCAGTTATATGCATTAGCCAGTTATCGATCAGTTTAACAGGGTAACTACGCATGGAGCACAGCCGTTGCCTGGGAAAATACGCAGTTAATTTTCACTCCTGGTGCTAGTTGACTTTTGCTTTGTTTCTATATACTAATATTGCACTTGCAGCTGCAGATGCAGTTGCCGTTGCAGTTTCAGTGGCAGCTGCAGCTTTTGTGCAACTTACAGCTCTCTGACTGATGAGACCCGTAAACATTTGTGATAACTCGGGCTACTAATTAGAGCGCTTGTTGATAGGCCACTGCAATGAATTGGTCCACAGAAAAGGGCAACAATTTGTGGCGACAAATAAGCATTTGCGATAGAAACTGAAATTACCAACCGAAATCAGATTCAGTCTATGTTTTCATCAAGTATGTTATTATAGTGCAAGTACGTTGACTGCTTTTAATTTGCAACACTTAATCTGTAGGATTTATGTGTGCAGAGTTGAGCAAGCGTCTCAAACGAACCTAACTTAAGCTGACCTAACCTAACATTAATTATAATTGGCTCAGTATCTAGCTGTAAATTCGGCCAGAGACATTTGACAGATAGATGCAACAACTGCAGCCGGATACAAAGCTTGAAATGCACAATTAATTACATTGTCGAAACTCGAGCCGTACTGCAGCAAGGTCGCCGGGTCGGCTCCCATGGGCGTCGCCTTAACAAAGTGCTTCATATTTAATTAACTCGAGTTTGGGTAACCGGGCAACAGTTGTCAATGCCTGACAAACGGGCCTTTTGACAGCCATATTAAGTTGCAACATTATTTACTATTGACTTTATTGCTGTGGACAAAATTGTGGTTGCCATTTTAAACAAAAAAAATAAATAAGGATTAACCGTTAGCAACAGCTGCAAAATCTGTTTTGAATTACAACTTTTGCGGTTTTACAATCAGTGTTGGGCAATTTTCTCTTGCAACCGATGCGCGCCAAAAGTTTTATGTGCTCTCTTTGGCTTCCAGTATTGGAAGGTGGTTGATTCGTTGATTTGGCAACGCTGCATATTGGTTTTCTCGTGGCGTTGCCAACGTTCTGACTGACAACCAGTAAAGAAACTTTTATAATAAATAACAATACTATTAATTGTATTTATGTGCTTAGCATAAACCTTGCGTTTCGGCTTAAGAACTAGCTTAGTACTCGTAATTAAGTAGGCCTAACTATGCGCTTTATATCATGCATATTTATATTATATATGATTTATCTTACCTTTCAACGGTATCCAGAAATCGAAATCGACTCTTGAATATACAACTTTTTAGTTTAGGAAGAATTGTTTATTCCTTTTGATACTAAGTAGTTATTGCTTTTCAATTAACTCTTGAATGAGCAAGTTTTTTGTTCATCAAAATAAACTCTTATTAGTTTTACCTTGTTACCAACTATTATGAATATCGAATTTATATATATAGCTCTGTGGGAAGAATCGGCCGAGAATCATAAGTTCTTGTATTGACCGCCTTTTTTTTTTTTACCAGATATCTTGACCAAACTCATTTATGAGCTTGACTATGCGCATAGTCAGGGCTGCCAGCCCAAAGAAAAGTAGCTGGTTCGATTCGCAGCTCGAATCAA